CATATATATATATATATATATATACACACACATATATATATATATATATATATATATATATATATATATATATATATATATTTGCTTGCTTTAGAGAAGGAAATTATTGCCATTTTAGCATGCCTATGTAATCGGTCAAACACAAGTACGCAGCGTAACGCTACGTTCAGTTTCGCCAATTTATTTCTAATCTTACATGAAAAAATATAGCAATTTTGTGAAAATGTTTCGGAAAGATATGCATCGAAAAATATTGTTTTTATTATAGAAAAAAATATATAAGTATTTGCAAATTGCAGAAAGGATTTTCAATGTTGGTCACACCGAAGACGCTGAATTAAACAGCACAGTTTCTGAAAGACCGATCGACCTACGTATATAATACAACAATTCAACTAAAATATCTTGAGTGTTAGTATGTAGTGTGAGCTCAATATGAGCCGTCGTACGAGTTAGAGTCTCAAGTTGGCCTTGGAACATTTTGTCGGCGATATCGCCACGGGAAGAAATTATTGGTGAGTTCTTTAACATTGCAATTATGAAAAAGAGTGTGTTCCCGCGACGATATCGCCGAGACTAATTGAGAACGCCGGGCCAACTGTTTAGAGCTCGCTTAAAATAGTATACAAGACTTTTACAAAAAAAGGAAAATATTACGCGCCTTATTGCTTCTTTTTACAAATATTTACAAAGATAGAAGATAGTGTGATACGGAGCTGCCAAGATATGAGTTAAAATAAATTGATATTTGACGTGAAATCGGGATTAAAACATTGAAAAATTCAGATTGAATTTGGAATGGACCGCACTAATGGTCACATATTCTTCCTCTTTTTTTTTTCTTTTTTTTTTTTTTTTTTTTTTTTTTTTTTTTTTTTGTTGTCTGTCGATTTTGTCCTCATACATTGCCGTTTTCATTGAATTATAATACTAGTGACGCACCCGAGTAAAAGAGTTACGAGAAAACCATTGTTTTTTAGCAAAAAAAAAAAGTAATAATATTAATAATGATAATAATAATATTAATAATAATAATAATAATAATAATGGCTGTACAGTTTGATCAATAGTTTTATCGCTAAACAATTCATTTAAACTAAATAAATACTTTTCTTGGAGTTTCTTTTATACTATTTCGGTTGTTCCTCGTAAATATTTTACAGAATATTACATGTAAACAATCGAAATCAAATCCACGCACGGACCAAACGGATTATTGTTTTTTGTATTTTTTCTTCTTCTTCTGTTTTTAATCTTTATACTTTAATCTTTCGACGAGCACACGTTTTAGCGCTTACTTAATAAACACGAGGGGGATGCGTAAATACGTACACACAGGAGCTATGAAGAAAGTCAATGTAAGCTTTCTTTGTAGTATTCCTTTTACACTTTCAGTCTCATTAAGGCTTCTATACAATTTTGCGCTGCGTCGTCCCCAAGTTCTGAGTATGCGCATTACCAACATCATCATCTTTATCATTTCGTTTTTAATTTTTTGTTTTTCCATTTTCATTATCTGACGATGCTTAAGCAGCTTTTCGTCGTTCTTACTCATTCGCTCGTTGATATACATTTTAACAATATTATCGTCTAAAGGCGAAAGCCTCGGAGAAAATATACGTACACGGCGCGAATCACTCGAGTCTCTCATTCAAAAACGTTACATTTACAAATCGCCAAAGAAAATTGTCACTTTAATATCACGTTCGATCCAATTGACTTAATATTGAATGCTGAATTTCTATTTGAACCTCAATTCAAGCGAAACTTTAAGAAATTCCAATTATCTTGATGAATTATTATTTCTAATAATGATGATCGATCTATGATCGATTAACCATTGTTGCAAGTAAAATTTCTACCCGTGGCTTTTTCTCGGCATCTCCGGTCACTCTTCTTTCGTTTATTGTTTTATCGTCGAATGGGAAACTAGTCGCGCATTATGAGCAGTTTGCACATTTTCCTTCCCATTAGTATCTATGATACACCTGCTGCTGCGACTATTCTCGACATGTGCGTAAACTTTCATTAGCGTCAGCGACACGCACGCCGACGGCAAGGAAAAGGAATAAAGGCACTTTCGCGCACCGATGTGGGAAAAGGGGCAGTGAGCGGGCGACTTTCGATTTCCATTGCACTTTTCCAGCAACACAACACAACCGCTGAATTACATCCGAGACTCGTGACCTTCGCACGCGCCGCTCAACGTGTGCCGCGGATGTAGCGAAAAATGTTCTCCCACTTTAAAATCGGTACATTACCGTTACAAATGGCGGTCGAGAAAATTGTTTATCGGCTTTACGAATGTTCCTATCGAATTCGTGATTGAAGATTAAACGAACGAAGCTCGCCGGAAAATTTCTTTATCATTGATATAGGCACGTCATTTTCACAGCTACACACAGCTATACACACAGCTACACACACACACGCACGCACACGCACACGCACACGCACACGCACACACACACACACTTTAATGTGCGACTGCGTTCAACATCGAGGCATCGATAACACTAACACTTGTTGATAACACGCGTGTCGAATATTTTATTCCATACTACACATTTCTTCACTTCCGTTTACGAAGAAATGAGAAACTTACATTTTATGTTAAATGTTATTTCCGTTCATCTTTATATCTCGCTATACAAATATAACGCGCGAACGGTCAGATTTTTTCCCCTCGTTCGCACTTAACACAAGCATCCACATTAAAAAAATATAGTCATCGAATAATAATACAAAACACGTTGAAACGATTCTCTTTTTTTTTCTCTCTCCCTTTCTCAGGCTCTTTTAGAAAAAATCTCATCGCACGGTACATCAACGTCGTCGTCTAACTAATATTGGTATTCTATCCTTATCTAAATACAATTTAATACGGAAAAACATATTTTTTTAACAATTTTAAAGTCTGGAGCATAGAGGTGCAACATCATCATCGTTATCCTAATAATAGTCATCATCATCATCATCATCATCACCGCTATTCTCATCATCATATTAATATTCTTAATTTATCATTATAAACATCATCATAAACATCATCATCGTCGTCGGAAGCAGTCGTGTCGTAATCGTCATCGTTGGTACTCAATATTGGTTGCGTTGCCCTCGTCGAAATTCTCTTGCCATCGGCGCATCCACTATTTTCTTCCAGACCTCATCGCTCCGCATCTGCATGCTTTGTAAAACTCATGACGGGGATCCACGTCAATAGACGTAGATCGTTTTTAGTTGATCCTTGAGCTCCGGTGGTATGGCGCACGTCTCCGTCTCTGGCTTCCTTTTAACCAAGCGACGCCAGCGCCCGCCCAAATTCTTTCGGAAGCCCTTGGCAAAGCCCTGCCTATCCGACTGAAGCCCATGTACGAGTGTGTCCTGAAAAAGGGATGACATCTTTCGGTTAATTTAATGTGTCTTGCGTATAAAAATCTGGGGGAGGTTTGAACAATAGTACTAAAGGGATACGGTAGTTAATTCGTTAATGCGTCATTCTTCGTCGTAGTTCTTTTCATTCCACGATTCTAATGGGAAATCCATTATTATTTTTCCAGCAGTTAATTGAAATTTGACTAGATGTACATTTAAATATTTGCTTTTACAAATGTAGACCTACATATTGTATTACTGATCTACCGGTGCACTAGCTTCTAATCATTTACATTATACTTTATGTGTACATCCCTTGCGAATGACAGTTTCATTCTGTAGCCGTTTGAATTACCTCAAATTCGAAAACGACAAAATATCCGAGTTATATACTACCTACTAGTATCCATATGTGGACACAAACACGCGCGCGTGCGAGCGTGTGTATATATATATATATATATATATATATATATATATATATATATATATACGGTATTGTACAAACGTTTAAAAAATGCATATCAATGTAAAAAAAAAAAAAGCGAAAATAATCAAACAAATTAAAGAAAAAAGACGTATGTATGCAGTCGTTTGACTATCATAAGCGAATGTTACAAATAATCGTAATTCAACAGCTTGAAAAAGCAATTAGCAGTTTCACAATTACGCTCTGGTATATTAGTAAAACGAAATATCCATATTATATTTGGAAAAGCAAGCGATACAAGAAACAATGAGCAACGAAGCAGCAATGGTACTCTATGTAGGGGAAATATTGAAGAAATTTTTCTAAAACAAAGGACGTGGTGAAAGGAAGTCTACGAGAAACCTTGAGAATGATAAAGATACTAGAAACATTTGTATTTAAAGTTTTTATATTTTAATGAATGCTGAAATTTTGCAATGACTCAGAAGATTTCAAAAATGAAATGAAGCACACGAGAGCTATCAATATCAATAGAAATTCGGATTTCGCCCTGTTTACATAAATAGAATTCTAATTTTACCTCCAATTTCGCTTTTAAATAATATTAATTTGATAACAGAGAGTAAAAGCAACATGATAAAAGTACAATTTTTAATATTCGTTTTCCTACTAAAAATAATAGAAATAAATTTGTCGATTCGGCATTAATTTATTATTATAAATTTTAACATTTTCGTCTAATAGCTACACTGAGAGCAATAATAATTATGTTACATGTACAGAAAGCATTTTTAATAATAATCAAAATACGGGGGCCACAGAGAAAACACGGAGAGCAGAAATCTAACTTGGGCCTCTACATTGGCGCTGCCGATTCTCAACCCCAGAGATGTACGAGGTAGAAGAATGAGCGAGAGAGAGAGAGAGAGAGAGAGTGGGAGGGTGGAGGGGAACAGCGAGAGAGCATGCAAGTGGGGTGTAAAGAAAGCCCCTCGGTGCACATTTGCGTGTGTGCATAGGAGCGAGTACACCAAAACAGGCAGAGCGAGACGGAAAGTTTTGCCTCGTGATCGATAGAAAACGAGAGAGAACAGCAGTACCATACGCCGCAGTCGCATTTTGGTCATTGAACCAGGCGGGCAGCTCAACCGATATAACAGCACCTTCTCGCTATCTGTCTTTTATGTCTTTCCCTCTCTTTCCCGCGCGCACGCACACAAATTCGATAGCTCGCTTGCATGCAACTGTGCGTATCCCTTATACCCCTTACGGGGCTACTCTCCTTTCTTTTTATCGACCGTTCCCATAGCTCGCCAACCTTTTATTTTGAAAAGAACGAGATGCCAGGAGGGGGAGTTAAGCGAGCGGGGATGATAAAAGAAGGGTACTCGGTTAGATCGACCAATTTTTTCATTTCTTCGAGGCGACGGAAGTCTACCATTTTTCATAAGATTTTCCTGCTGCACAGCGTGATTTCATTTTAATCTCATGACCGATATATTTTCAGTTTACGAACGCTCGCAGTCGCTTTTATATTGCTTTAGATATCGAGCATTGCCAGTCTTTTCAAGCGATCGCTTACGTTCAGTTAGAAGGAGAATTAAACGCGATATGAATTTGTATTTGATCCTCAAATTTGATAAACCGTATCTGCCAAAAAAGCATAAATAATAGAGTGCATAAATGTTTTTTGTAAATTTCTACTCTCCTGAAAAAGCACGCGCGAATGGAGTGACGATGAGGCGACCACTTAATTATTTGGCGTTGATTGCCCGCCCGCGACCACTTTCTTCGTCGTAAAACGTAAAACGTGTCGTACGGACGATCCGCGGACCATTGGGATGAGGGAATAACGAGAAACGGCGGGTTTGTCACTAGGGGGAAAAGGTGAGCAAGCCACGGAGCTCGGTAAATTTCCCTGTCCGAGAAGCCAAGAGCCAAGCAGCCCTTCCCTATACTAAAGAGGAAGAGCAGGCGCATTCCAGGTTACACGGATGGCCAGGGCGATGACGTCAGCAAGAAACGAGGCCGCGGCAGCTTTACGTTTGTGCAAGCCCGACGACGTACATTCTCTAACGCTTGTGTCTACCGTCCTTTATGTGCTCCCTTTTCCGTCAGCGCTCGAGCAAACGTGAAACTACCCACTCGACGAGTAGCCCGGAGGAAAGGCACGACCGAAAGAGACGGCGAAAGAGGGAGGGGACTTGGATTATGCGCGCGTGTATGTGTGTGTGTGTGTATGTGTGCGCGCGTGTGCGTGTGTGCGTGAGGATGTGTGCGTTTGTGCGCGCGTGAGAAAGAGAGAGAGAGAGAGAGAGAGAGAGAGAGAGAGGAAGGAAGAGAGTGAGATTGGAGCGAAGAAAAGGCGGGTGTACGGCGACGCCTGCACGAGGCGGAAGTCTCGAGCATGAATTTATGTGGCGGTGGCGCGTGTAGGCCGATATCAGCCACTCAATGCTGATCGCGACAATTCAACACTTTCATACTCCGGAGCTTTCGCGCAATCTGCATTCAGACGATATGCCCCCAAGAATCATCCACTTTCTATGCTTTTAAAGCGGTGGTTGAAGAATATTATATGCTAATATCGGCCGATGGGACCATTCCCTTGTGGGCCATTATCGTAACATTAACCGAACGCGCAATCACCGATGTAGATGGGATGCTCTTTGTCGGTAATGGCACTTGCGTTTCAAGAGCGATGTTTTTGGTAGTGGCGACTAACGATCGTTCGATTATGAAGACGCGTAATTGACGCTATTCGTCATTGAATTTTAATGGACGCAATCATGGATTGGTAATGCAAAATATCACTCGTGTCTCTTTAGTCTTCAAACTTGTAAATTGCTCCTAATTTGCCGAGCTTAATATTTCAAAGATATTGTTTTTTCAAGGTATTTCGAGAGCTGCTCGCTCGAGTGTTAAATCGAATCGCCGACAAATTCATTCGTCTTATTATTAGTACGCTTGAAACAATCGTAAAGAGAGAGAGAGAGAGAGAGAGAGAGAGAGAGAGAGAGAGAGCGAAGAGAAAAATACGAATCATTCGACTAGCCAAAATAACTGTCCCCCTGAAAGCAAGAAAAAAAAATGGTTATCTGACGACTGGTGCCAGCCGACGCGTCGGCCAGGCATAACGAACTGCGAGCTAGAAGCGCAAAGAAAAGAGAAAGAACGATCGAACGAAATAAATGCAGACAATCGCGAGGAGAAAGAAGAGAACTGACGAGTGTTCGATCGCCAAAACCTATAAGCGGAGCCCGACCCTCCACCAAGCACCCCACTCCACTCCACCACACCCCACCCTACCGCCAGCCCCCTCCCGCGCTAATTTTAGTTAAGCAAATCTTGAATTTTTCACCGTCAATGCTGAGCGAACGTCGAGCTGCGTTCGCGACCGCAATTTACGTTCCGTTTCCGCAAGAGCTTCATATGTTTGGCATTACCATAATGGAAAAGCAAAGAAGTATGGGACTTGGAAATCACCGGAGCTTCTTGCAACGTCGTATTGCGCCGCTTGATTCTATTTCTGCGGTTTTCTTGCGGTATTAAAGGAACGAATACGTGTTCACTAAGGCGACGCTCGCGGAATATTACAATATTGCAATATTGTGTAATCCACTGAAAATAATCCGATTTTCAAGTGCGTTTGCCGTTGAGTTTATTTGCGTATGGTATGTACATGTATGTGGTCAAGATGTGACGGCTAGACAAGCGCTCCAATTAAAGCCATTTGTCCGGTTAAATTGTATTACCGATACTCCTACAGATCCTAGTTGTTTGTCATTGCGATCTTTGGCTTCGAGCTCAGCGTCACTCTATAAAGCAAACATAGTCGTAAATTTTTAAATTACCCATACACGCATCTTTTTGTTATTATTTTTACGGCGTCAAAACAGTCCATTATGGCGTAGCAAGTCTAATCTCGAGTTTCGTTTCGAATTACCCAGGTTTATATATAAAGGTGAGAGCCTTTGATACAGCGCTTAATTTTTTTCTATACAATGGCGAAATTATGCTGCTTCGACTATCTCTTCAAAGTATCAGAACTAAGGTTTCAAACTCCAAGTACACAAAATAAAGTCTATTCGCAATATAATGTAATATAACCGAGCTAATATAATTTTGGCTAAAAATAAACGCGGTTTGATGTTCCGCCATGGCGACGGCCTTACGGAATAAACGTAATTATCCTGAAAATCGATATCGTCGAACGTTTTACCGGTGGCAGCGCCAGCTAAACTCCCAAGCGCACTAAAAATAAAATTCATCTTTTACGAGGCTCGAGCGTTCGTAAAGAGAAAACAAGGAGAGCCGCGTTTCTGCACATAATATATAGGTGCATTTGCGTATATATATATATATATATATATACCCATACGTACGCATGCGCTCACATAAAAATAAAGGAGGGACCAAGTAATACAAATAGAATAAGACAAGTACCACGAATCAAATGTGCGATGTCCTCTCTCTCTCTCTCTCTCTCTCCCTCTCCCTCTCACTCACTGTCTCACACACACAAACACACACACACACAC